ACAAAAGAAGACATACATCAGGCCAGCAAACATATGAAAAAAATGCTCATCATCACTGGTCATTAGAGAAATGCAAATCAAAACTACATTGAGATACCATCTCATGCCAGTTCGAATGGCGACCATTAAAAAATCTAGAGACAACAGATGCTGGAGAGGATGTGGAGAAATAGGAACACTTTTACACTGTTGGTGGGAGTGTAAATTAGTTCAACCATTGTGGAAGACAGACAGTGTGGCGATTCCTTAAGGATCTAGAAATAGAAATTCCATTTGACCCAGCAATCCCATTACTGGGTATATATCCAAAGGTTTATAAATCGTTCTACTATAAGGACACATGCACATGAATGTTCATTGCAGCACTGTTTACAATAGTAAAGACCTAGAACCAACCCAAATGCCCATCAATGATAGACTGGACAGGGAATATGTGGCACATGTACACCATGGAATACTATGCAGCCATAAAAAATGATGAGTTTGTGTCCTTTGTAGGGAATGGATGAATATGGAAACCATCATTCTCAGCAAACTGACACAAGAGCAGAAAATCAAACACCACATGTTCTCACTCATAGGTGGGTGTTGAACAATGAGAACACATGGACACAAAGAGGGGAGCACTACACACTGGGGTCTGTTGGGGGGAATTAGGGGAGGGACAGTGTGGGTTGGGGAGTTGGGGAGAGATAGCATGGAGAGAAATGCCAGATATAGGTGAAGGGGAGGAAGGGAGCAAATCACACTGCCATGTGTGTACCTACAACTATCTTGCATGTTCTTCAAATGTATCCCAAAACTTAAAATGCAATAAAAAATTAAAAAATGAACCAAGTACCTCAGTTGGAAATGCGGAGATAACCCACTTTCTGCATCGATCTCACTGGGAACTGTGCACCAGAGCTATTCTTATTTGGCCATCCTGGCAGAAAATCAGGGCTTGTTTTCTTATAGGTAAATTATTCCCTATCTTATGAGAGTGTCAGAATTAAATAGTGTTTTCAGAAGAGTCCGGCAAGGTTTCCCAGCAATTGTAAGTCGTCATACTTTTTACAGCCAGCTGTAAGGTAAGGCTGCTGGGTGGGACTGCTTCTCCTGATCCCAGCTGGCTTCCTACACATTAAATCAGATATTTGTTTTTCCCTCAAGAACTTGGCTTTTTCTGTCATTCCTAAGGAATAGCACAGGCTTCTTCCCTTCATTTCCAAGGGAGATGGCAGTTACGTTGGAAACAAGGTGCTGGTGGGCACCTCAGCCTGTCTGTTCTGCTAAAGCCTCTTTTGGATCTGGGGAAGGACATGCCAGGGGTGGCACTTGAATTGGCACCTACAGACTGCCATAGATGATTTGTGCTGTCCTCCTCCAAAAGGAAGGGAGCTTGTTGAGAAGATAACTTGGTCTCATAAGGCTTAAAGAAAACTGTCTTCTGCACCAACGAAAAGCTATGTTTGACCACATATAACTCTGTACCACAAAAGGTTAGATAATAGTGTCATTTTCTATCAGTATTCCATAAACAGACACTGTATTACATTTTACACGTAGTCCTTACAATTATTCTGAGAGATATGACTTCTATTACACACCTGAAGAAACTGAGCATTATAAATATTAAGTAATCTTCCCAAAGTCACACAGCTTGAGGCCTAGCCAAAGTAAAATCTAAGCTTGTCTGGCTTAAGTCCCCATACTTAACCCAAATATGCCTGACAATAAGAATGATCTGGAATGGTTGTTAAAAATAGATTATAGGGGCTAGACCCCAGACCAGCCGAATCAGGGTCTCCAGAGAAGAGGCTGGCTGGGAGATCTGATTTTTTTTTTAACAAGTGCCCCAGGTGACTGCTACTGAGAAAGACCTCCCAACACCCCTGGGTTGTTTACCCCTGGCCTTTGACAACCATGGGAAGTGCTTCAGGCACACCATTCAAGGCCCTGGCCCCAAGCCATGCACTGTAGGTTCTTTCCCAAGTTCTGTCTTTGATAAGACACTTAACCCTGTGCAGTTCACACAGTTTTCTGAGCTATAAAGTGGAGATGCATTGTAATAACTGCTCACAAATCTCACAGGAGTGCTGTGAGAATTAAATGAGAACACTGGTGAAGGTGCTTTGCAGAATGCTCACTGAGAGAAAATGTACTTCTCAAAGTTATTACAAATCTTCACATAATCTGTCTCACAGGCTTTTGTCGGGTGACCTGGGAATCTAACCATCCTTCTAATATGGTGTTTATGGGAAATGCATTCAGATTTCAAAATAATTCACCAAAAAAAACTTCAGAATTCAATTCAATTTTCAGGACTGCCTCTATTTAAAGTTTTGTATTACAGGCCCAAGAATAGTGAACATATCATATGAAGTCTTTTCCATGAGAACAGTAAATGAACAGTTGATTTGACTTCTTGGTCTATTTGGTGTTGCTTTCAAATGAATCCTAATATTGTTAGATGAAAAGTGCAGACTCTAAAATGATATCTCTACAGACATATCCCATTTGCTGAGGCTTAAAGAGACTGTCTTTGCAAGGGTCATTTAACTTGTAACAATGGTCGGTACAGGATTCAAATATCAGACCCTAAATTCTGGGGATGTTCAAACAGTATCAGAGCCCAAATTGGCCACACTGCTATATAAAATCCACATGTACACACATGGATTGGCATGTTAACCCATGAAAACAAAAGCTATCACTGTGTTAGAGCGAGGGATTGTGGCTGATTTGTTCTTTAGGATAAAATGAATTATTGGTATAAAAATTGGGAGAAGAAAAAAGTTGCATTAAAAAATATACTTGGATTTTATGACTGCATATCAAGACTTGTTTTGTTATAGGTTTTGGAATTTAGATTCCATTCCTAAACCTTCATGGTCTCTGGTCCATGTGAAAGTTAAGGAAGAGAAAGAAATTTGGGTGGCAAGAAATCCACCCAAGTGTCCTCTGCTCCTGGCAGCATTAAAGAAAATTGCTATCCTTCAAACATGATGATGAAGACATTAGTAGCTTTCCAGGAGTGGTGATGGATTTGCTCTGAGCCCTCTTAAATTCCCTCCCCATCTCCTTTTATATCAAGGAGGGCTGCTCAGGCATGATGCTGCCAGTAAGGTAGCCATCCATATGAAGGGTGAACTTGGCACTTGCCACCCATCCAACTCATGCCCCACCCTGCCAGCTGCTCGGGAGATGGGATAATCACATTCAGTACTTCTGAATGGTCCTTCTATAAGGACATCCCCTGACAGCCCCGTAGAAAACTAAATGTTGTTTATATCACTGGAAAAGCTCATCCTTCCCCAATCCATTCCTCCTTTAAGATGAGTTCCTTTCCCCAAAGTAACTTTTCTTCCTTTCTAACAGATATCTGCAAATGAAATAGAAATGCTTTTGATGAGGCTGCCACGCATGTTCAAACAGGAATTCACAGGCGTGGGAGCCACGCTGGAAAAAAGATGGAAATTGTGTGCCTTTGAAGGAATTAAAACTACCTAACTGTGAAGAGCAAAACATCTCTGGAAATGAAACCATGTGAACCTGGCCAGGGCTGTGCAACTGGGGGAGCAGGAGGTGTGGGATTGGTCCAGCACGCAACCTTTGTGGAGACATCAAAGCTTGCCTTTAGTTATATCTGTGGTGTTCTCTTGTGAGTGGAAATGTAATTGTGTACCAGTTCCTTAAAATAAACAAAGCTTCATATTGTGACAGATCTGTTTCCTATGAAAACCAAACAATGATTCCACAGTCATAATGGCAAAATCGTAAAATATGCTACATTTGAGAATAGCTCACCAAGCAAAATATTTAAAGTTAATGATGGTGTAGCGATGATTGTTGCTAGGCTACAGAGTTGTATATGTAATGTATAGCTGAAATCATTAAATGACATTTTCCTGAAAGTCTTTCTGTTTTAGTAAAAAAAAAAAAAAAAAAAAAAGAAAAAAATAATTTTACAGTAAGGGAAAATCATACCAAAAGAAAACTTGAATATGTGTCTAAACAGTTATTGTATTTTGTAAATTAAGTTATATGCTGTTCCAGGGACTTTTGCCTTATTGAAGAGGCAGAAAATATGATTGGACACATTGAGAATGCTTTATCAAGAATATTATTTTTCTAATGTAACAATTCTCCATCATAAGTTCTTTTAACATGGACTGCATAACAATTTTCATAAAGTGTAAATAAAGGAAAAACTAGTGTTATTGTCTTGTACTTGGTATGTAACATTCAGGTTTATGCATCAAAATAAACATTCAGTAAATATTCCTGTTACAAATTTTATAGCAAAGATATTAATTTTTTTCAATAAATATGACTTCTACCATATTGGTTTTACAAATTATTCTTTGACATATTTTATTTCTCTCAAGAAATCTTTTTCTCATTATTTGGTCCCATCTCATATCCTACCATTTGAAAATGATTAAATACATAAGTGACATGAAGAGATAAGACATTATTTCAGATAGGAATATATAAAAATTGTGGAGTGGAAATTACCATGAAGAGATTATACAGCATTAGTATATAGCATTAGAGATTTTTTTAAATAGTAGGACATAGCATCCACAAATAATAAACAAATTTTACCTTTGTTTTGTGTTCTCCTGGGCAGTTACAAAGTAGTCCATTAATCTCATTAACTCTTGGATTTATGCATTTGTATGTTTACTAGAAACACATTAGAAAAGAAATTAAGGGATCCACACTTGGACCAACAATTTAGATAGAATTTGGGCTTCCCCTCTTTAGGGCTTCCCCTCTTTATTTTAATAACAAATGGGATATGACTTTTGGTACCCTTCCTGCTATCCTACATAAAAAAAAAAAAAATCACAAAAAAGACAAATATTCTTAATTGTAACTGGAACATTTTTTAGGAAGACAGCTAAACAGTTAATGTTCTCTGATATTATGAAAAGATATTCATAATTTCCTATTGGAATAATCTTTTATTGATACCTTTATTGCTAAGCACCTTTACTGATCTCTGATAAACTAAGGTACTTACTCATACCTCCCATAAATATCTACACATGTGTTTTGTTCAGGCTCAGAGTTAACACTAATGAATATAAAGGTGAGTTAGAAAAGACCCTTTCCTTAATGTGCTCAGAGTTCCGTGTGAAGAAGACATTTTCAGCCAGGCACAGTGGCTCATGCCTGTAATCCCAGCATTTTGGGAGGCTGAGGCGGGTGGATCACTTGAGGTCAGGAGTTTGAGACCAGCTTGTCCAACATGGTGAAACCCTATTTCTATTCAAAATACAAAAAAAAAAAAAAAAAAGTGGCTGGGCCTGGTAGCAGGTGCCTGTAGTCCCAGCTACTGAAGAGGCTGAGGCAGGAGAATCACTTGAACCTGGGAGGTAGAGGTTGCAGTGAGCCATGACGGTGCCACTGCACTCCAGCCTGAATGACAGAGCCAAGAATCCATCTCAAAAAATAAGAAGATAGAAAAAGACATTTTCCCCAAAAGTTTCTATACGATGTGATTCTGGGAACAAGAAAGATATGACAGGTGCTATGGCATTCAAACTATATGCCCATATCATATTAAACCCTACACACCTTCCCTTACCATAAGTCCATTCCTACAGCCACCATCATCCTAACATTTAGCTCCAAGTCAGGAGATACAAGTAAAGACACAATAGTCAGAAAGGAGAAGACATCATTTACAGATGCTGCTATCATTGTAAAATAGAAAACCTAAGCAGTTCACCTGAAAAACAAGGAAAATAGAATTCAGTAAAGTGGCTAGTAATAAAGTCATGAAGTCTAATAAAGACATAGGGGAAGGTACCACAGTCTATGCTATTTCTAATGGAAAGCATGGTGGATATTTTCAAGCATGCATTGATAGTTTCCAGTATTACTAGCAGTCACTTTAGCAGAAAGACATTCTGCACAGGGTAAACCCCTAACTCTGAGCTTTGTGCTCATGCAAAGCTGAGGACCTCATATTGTATCTGACAAAAAGATACCATTTCCAAACACATGGATCTGAGCTCTGCAGTACAACTTGGGGGAATGAAATGGTTAATTCAGCTTTCAAAAATATTAAAGTCATTGCTGGAGATATGCTTCTGCACTAGAGAAATCTATTTTGGCTGTAATTTTTTAATTTATACTTGAATTCTATTACTTGTCTAGAAATATATTGATTATATATTTTAACTTCAATTATGTGAATAATTTGTTTTTGGATTTTTTTTAATCCTCTAAATTATTTCACAGACTCTCAGGTTCAGCTGGGACTTTAGAGCTCACCTGGGAAAGAACTAACATCGGTGCCTATGAGAGTGGTCTGGAGTCTATGTGTATCTGTCACCTCATCTCCTTTAATCCTCCTGATAACCCTATATGAAGATAATATTATTGTCCCCATTTGTCACACAAGGAAAATGAGGCTCAGAAGTTTTAACTAATTTGGCCAACTTTGCGGTTAGTAAATTTTGAATGGAGATTTGAACCTAAGGCTAACTGGCTCCCAAACATATTCTTCTTTTCACTGGTCATACTTCTATTAATAGTTCAACCCATTCCACCCCACCTATGAGCCCAATGCCATCCAGTGCCTTTGGATCCCTTTTTATTCTCCACCATCCCTTATACATGGGTAGAGAGGTGAAGACTCTTCACACCTTTCTCTCCTTAGAATAAGCACAATATTGAAGGTTTGGAGATCCTTGCGATCTGGCCCCAAAGGGCCTTTCTAACACTTTTCATTGTTTCCCTGAATATGATTCATCTTTTTTCTTGCTTTTCTGCTTTTGTTCACCTATTTGAATGAAACCACCTTCATCACATCTAGTTATCACAGTTCTACACAACTTTTAAGTGGGGAAATAAGCCTTCATGCCCAAACAGAAGTCATCCCTCCTGCCTCTGCACAGTCATCCCACACTGACTGCTTTTTAAGGCACTTGCTACCCAGCTGTCCTTGCCCTATTATATTACAATCTCTTTGATGGACCTGAACACATCTCATTTACTTTGAATTATTTCTCAAAGTGGTTTTGCTTATAAATATTTAGAAAGTAGGACAGAAAGTGATCCAAGATGTTTTTCTACCTCCAGGAGCCAATTTGGCTATATATACCCAAGGGGAAAATATTACAAAATATTTGAAAAGGCTGCAAATATCTTAGATCCAAGATTCCAAGGTGGGAAATGTGAGTGAGAATGTACTGCATATTATTGAGATAAAAAATAAGCAACCCGATTCCTACTGAAACTTCAGACCCAGATCAATTATCAACTCTTCTATGAGGCTCTGATTCCCTCAGGAGCGCTTCTCCTGAGCTCCCCCTGCTATTCATTACATTTCTATTGCAGCCCATTGACTGTATTTTAATCATTTTTTAATGTGGCTGTCTTTCCACTCCTGCAGGCAGGAGACCTCCCTTACTTATCCCTCTAGTCCCTCAGAGTCTGACATGACGTATTATTACTTATAAATAAATATTTATCACATTAATGAAAGAAGAACTCACACAAGAACTTTCTGAAGTTGTTGAATCAGAATATATTCAGGTATTAGGTCCAGCAATAGAGGCTAGAACTTTATGTCTCTCCTTTGTAATATCTTGGCAAAACCCTTATTTTTCAATTTTAATTTTTTATTGTGGTAAAATACTTATCAATTTAGCCAGTCATAGTGTACAATTCTATGGCATTAAATGCATTCACAATATTACGTAACCAATCATCACTCTTTATACCCAAAACTTTTACATTATCCCCAACAAAAATTATGTACTCATTAAACAATAACTCCTCATCCTCTTACCCTTCTAACCTCTGGTGACTGCTAGGCCCTGCACCTCCACCAATGTGCCTATTCAAGGCATCTCATGTAAGTGCAATGATACCGCATTTGCCCTCTGTGTCTGGTTTCTTTCACTCAGCATGGCATCTTGAAGGTTCATCCATACTGTAGCACGTATCAGAATTTCACTTATTTTTAAGGCTGAATAATAAGCTGCGCAAAACAAGTTGTTTTTTCTTGGTAAGGGTCAGGGATGTTTTACTTTGAGGTTGGTTCCTGGTTTTTTTTATTTTTTATTTTTTGGTGGGGCGAGGGGATTGTAGCCCTTTTCAGAAAATGGCTACTGTGTTTATTTATTGGACTCAGTAAAAGGTGGTTTATCCCCAAAACATAAGACCTCTTTTACCATAATATTCAATTTCTTCTCATAAACTGAGAAAACAGACATCGGATCTCTAAAATCTTATAGCTTGACTTATTTTTCATCAAAATGGTAAAAAGTTCACATGTATATTAAATAAGACTGTCATAAGCAGCTGAACAAACTATCCTCTGTAGCGCACCAAAAAGGAGCATTTTAGACAAGTTACAGTGAATGTGTTTATATAGTAGATCACTGCAAATACTGTCTCTCTAGTTCCGCCACCTCCAATTTCCTCCTCTACTTGCAAGTGGACTTTTTTTTCATTCCCAGGCTTTAGATGTTTGGAAATATCTCATACTGTGTAGGTGAGCACTCAGGTGGTACTGCAGTCAAGCCCGGCCCCAACAGTCACTGACCTTGTGACCAGGGCACGTTCCTTACCCACACTGAGGTGCCAGTCCCAGATCTATAATATGGGAATGTTAATGCCTACATCATAGGGTGATGATTAAATAAGACAGCATGCAAAAGCACCCCCTAACACTGAGCCAGGCAGACTGAAGGCATTTGTTTCTCCAAAAATAGTACTTAAACTACATCATTCCCAGCAAAGGGGACGAGCCCTTTCCCTGCTATCCGCCTATTCCTGTTCCTGACCACTGACAGTCGATCATATGCTTCTAAATACAAAGATAAAATAAGTATAAAGCAAGCATAATCCCCACTAATTGTCCATTAAACATGTTCAAGTGTAAGACTGACATTAGCAAGATAATTGTAATTCTCTAACCTGCAAAGACTTCCGCTGTGGGTCAAGATGGCCAGGGGCAGAACTATGTAATTTCTAGTTAAATAATTACGAGCTTGCTTTACTTATCGTACGCTGAAGTTTATACCCTGAACTAAGCTATATCAAATGTTGGTGCAGTAAAATAGATATCAGGCGGCAACAGGAGGCCTGAGGTAAAGACCATCTGAGAGTGCTGTGAAACCCTGGAACACCGCGGGGTGGTTGCTAAGCAGGAAATCTGCTTTGGTCCCACGAATGCCTTCTCAACACAGAGGTTGCATGAGGATCACATAAAGAGGAATTGTGTAAGACATCTGAGAAGGGAGGTGACCTCTCCTCACAAGATCTGGGAGGGTCTTTGCAGATGGGAGCTTGCAAGGAGGAAAAGCCTTGCAGGGCAG